GTTCATTTTATTTGCACAGCGTCAGCACGCTGAAAATTGAATTGGATTTAACGTAATTAAAATATTGTGAAAAGCCGAGTGAGTTAAAATTATATGCAATGGATATTGTACATAAAGGTATTGACTTTATTTCTACAATTAAACTTTTAGATAATTCGTGTTGTGTTCTATGCAAATCGTTGTTTTAGAAAAGTAGGATTTTGTGTGTTTCTCGGTTCATCTTTCAAGTATTTAGGCAATGTTTTAAGTGTGTTTCCCCTATCGGTCCTCAATATTTTTATTTACATATTGTTTGTGAATATTTTAAGATTATAAAAGTGTTCAGTGTAGATGCATTGACCTGCAGAGGCTCGCGTAGTATTCCATAACCTAATCCAAGCTCTTTATTATTATACAGTTTTTTTATGTTTAGTTTTTGATTCATCTAATTTTTTAAATCAAAATGTTTCTAGGCACAAGTTACCACTGCGAATTTTGTTGATTGCATGTTTTTGAGATTTGGCGTGCAAATTTCGGTACTCATTCCCAAAAAGTTCAAAATTTGCTGGGTGCAATAGCGAAAGATATTGAATATGAGGGTTTTGAGCCAGATCGGTATGAGTTGCAAAAATGTATTTATTACGTTTATAAAAAGTTTGCATTGTTTTGGCAAAGATCCAAAACGCCAAAAATCAGCAGTTTTGAAAAATCATTATAATTGGCTCGAAAAGAAAGAAATCATTTCATTAAAATGCCAACCAACAGTTTCCACCAATTCAAATCGTGGCGCCCGAAAATAGATTTTGTTGAGTCTTCAAAAAGACTAAGCGTCGGCGAACATATCGGGATAAAATTTTTACTCTAAGGTCTGTTAAGAGTAAAAACTGTAATATGTAAAAGTGGGCAGGGTTGGACACGCCCACATACACTCATGCGAAAATTAATAGGGACACGACATTGTGACCAGTTTCGGCTATTTTTTTTTTGTTTGTTTAATGTCTATTTTTTTTTATAAAAATACAACTCAGTATCTAACAAAAACCAAATTTCAAACTTTGTAAAAAAATAGAAAAATTCAACAAAAGTTTAAAATAACAGCAAACTTTTTAAATAAGAACTGATTTCTAGATCAAGAAAGTGCATGTTGTTAAATTTTAATCTTTTATTGAAACTTTTTGGTCCAACATTTTCACCAACAATTCACGTTTACCATTTTTATTGGCACATTCATCTGCTAAGATTATGGTTTGGTGGTCATTTTCCGCTTTAAATAACCTAAGGGAAGTGTTATATCCGTAAAGAAGTTCTTGAAATTCTGCAATTGTGCAGCATTTTATAGCACGGTTAATCGCAAAACGAATTAAATTTTAAGAACTTTTTCTCTTCAATCCCAGGTGACAACAATGATTCGATTCTATAGTGAACCTGTCCACGAAGTTTTAGAGTATAGTTGGTGGCATTTTCAAAATGGGTCTGTATTGTCTTACAGTAGTGCAATATACATACATATACGTACTTCAGACGTCACTGCCCCGTACTGCAGGGTTATGTATGTCGGGAAGCTGGCTTTAATATAATGCGGCATTCCCTTTATTCTTTAAACGACAAGGAATTTTTTGATGAGACTTAATATGAATATTGACTTGCTAGTATCTGAACTATTTCTTGCACGTTTATTTGCCAAAACGGCTCAGCATCAGTGAGTAATTCGCAAACGTATGCTGCGAATGCTGCATTATACTAAAGCCAGCCTTTCGACATGGCTACTATTCCATATGAACACAGATATATTAGTTCCCTCCTGTACTGCTGGAGTCCATCGCTACTTTTGAACCGCTACTGCACCGACTCCTAGGTAACTAGCTACTCTATTAACCCGTGGTAGTGGACATAGTAGTGCAGAGTGGAACCAGTCGTAAGCAGAATAGCGAAAAACTACGACAGAGGGCGCCCATAAATCACGCAAGTGACTACTTTAGTAACTCCCGGTAGTGCAGAGAGAGCCGATGGTGACTACCGCCTAGGAGATTGCCTTGTAAAAGTAATCAGGTAGCTACCGATTCAGCAGTCCTGTAGTCACTCCCCCGTACTGCAGGGTATATATATGTTTCTTAAACCAAAAGTCAAATTTTTCACAATAGCACTTCGAAAAATTAGTACAGATAAAAAAATAGTGGAAGTATTTAATCTATACTAGTGTATATATATATATATTTGGAAAGGCGTTTTTTCTAGTCGCAATGCTCGAGAACGACTTTCCAAGAATGGTTACAGGTGAAAAAAATGTCGATACATAAAAGGGGTTTGGCACCTCCCATACAAACCGAATTTTTCATACTTTATATCTATACTAATATATATTTTGAAAGCCGTGATTTAGTGTTCGCAAAGCTCTAGAACGGCTTGACCGATTTTTTTGAAACTTCAGGCACCTGCCGCACGTGTTCCAAGGATGGTTTTGGCCTAAAAAATATCTATATGTAAAGGGGACGGGGCACTTCCAATACAAACCGAATTATTTCATTTTCCATATCTCTGGAAGTGTTCATGGTAAAGTTCTGGAACTTTGTATGGAGATATACGAAATTAATCGCATACTCTTGGAGAACAATTGGAGCTATTAGAAAAGGGGGAGTGGCGCCTCCCATATAAACCGAATTTATCATGCTACGTATCTCTGAAAGTGCTCATGGTGGAGTTCTGGAACTTGGTATGGAGATATACGAAATCAATCGCATACTCTTGGAGAAAAATTTGAGCTGTTGGAATAGGAGGCGTTGCACCTCCCATACAAACCGAATTTGTAAACTTCATATCTCTGGAAATGATCATGGTACAGTATGAAATCAAGCCTGTACGCATGTAGAAAAATGGTATTTTTCATTCTTCTGTAGGTGTGTTTGTGAGTGAAGTCTTCCTAAATGGGTCTCCGGATTTTAACGAAATTTTTTGTGTGTGTTTGAGTGGGTCTCTGGGTGGCTTAGTTTCACAGTTTCACCCGCTTGGCGCTGTAGTTGAGTTATTACTAAAAATCTTATTTATGATCCGATTTGCTAATATTTAAAATATGTATTGGTAATGGTAAGAGCAATACTATTGCAAAAACATGCTGCCAAATGGCGCTGGAGTCGAGTTATTACTAAAAATAGCCAAGTGTGAAAAGGTGCCGTGAAGGTCATATTAAATCGACCTGTTGAGAATATCGAACTCTCCTGTGTTACGATTGGCCCAATGGTTGTGATTTTCAAATATTATTATGCGTTCAAGCTTTTAAGGTATTTCATCTGAAATAAGTATATGTATATTGCATTTCTGTGGAACAATGATTCGCACCCATTTTTAAAATGCCACCAACTATACTATAAAGCTTGTTGCCGCCAGGGAGTGAAGAGGAAACAATTCTTCAAATTTATTTCGTTTTGCGAATAACCGTGCTATGAAAAGCTGCACAATTGGAGAATTGCAAGAACTTCTTCACGGATATAACACTTCCCTTAGGTTATTTAAAGCGGCAAATGACCACCAAACCATAATCTTGGCAGATGAATGTGCCAATGAAAATCGTAAACGTGAATTGTTGGTGAAAATGTTGAACCAAAAAATAAAAACTTTGGGCGGGACGGAGTTCGCTGGGCCTGCTGGTGTATGTATATAATTAATGGGTTTTACACTCCTTTCCCGCCCAACCGACATGAGAGGCGCAGTCCGCATGACGTGTGGAACTTTGTTTTTTTTTGGTTTTTTGGTGCCGAATAGTGGAAACAGGACTGTATCAAGTGTCGATATCTAAAACTATTCAGCTACAGAATCAAGTTCATCAGCTAATTGGATATGCTAAAGATAGTATTTCAATTATTGAGAGTTGAAATGATAGTTTTTTTTCTTATAGTAAAAATCGGGTCCGATATGTCAAACGTGCTGGAGTGAGAGTTATAATCTAGACGTAAACAACGGAATGATTCGTTAAGTTCAAAATTAGCAGGGTTCCCTTCAGTACTGCTGGAGTCAATCGCTACTTTTGAACCGCTACTGCACCGACTCCTAGTTAAGTATTAACGAACCAGTCGTAAGCAGAATAGCGAAAAACTACGACAGAGGGCGCCCATAAATCACGCAAGTGACTACTTAAGTAACTCCCGGTAGTGCAGAGAGAGCCGATGGTAACTACTGCCTAGGACATTGCCTTGTAAAAGTAGTCGGTCGGTAATTGACGGTGTTTATCAGGCAGCTATCGATTCAGCAGTCCTGTAGTCACTCCCCTGTACTGCAGGGTTTCTAGTGCTCTCACACTCAGTTAAGTTACTCACTCATGTTCATGCTTCGACAGCAGTCAACACACAATCTACACAACAATCTCTCCCAGCTAACTCATTCACACAGCTCACTACAACTCCTGCCGCAAACTGGAGCTCTATTTCTCAATTGCATCCCGAAAACTCACCACCACAATGAGGTTAATACATCTCTAACACACAACGCTTCCTCAACTCATACTTCTAATGACTACTCTGCAGTGTCCTCAAGTCAGAGAATAATATTTCACTAATATGGGTCTAGAAAAAAGGCTCTTTAGAAGAAAGTATGCGTAATAAAGTTTCAAACACGAATTTTTAAAATCATATATTCAACTTTTCGCTTTATTTATAAAACATTTTGATAATTTTAAACACATTAAATTTTTCTTTTTACTTATAAATCAATGAAACGAAGAATTTTCAAATTTTTCGTAGTTTTTTGAAAATCGATGCTTTTTTCCACCGATATTGGAGTCTCATTGTCGATTACCGCCTCAGGAAAAATGTATTTTTTTGCTTAAAACATCGTCTAGCTCACTGTTTTCATCAAAATATTATGGATTATTTCACGAAAAAGAGAAGAAATTTTGTTCAAATACTTACTTCTCATAAGGGCATGTCATTCTGGCTCTTCTTGTTTTAGAGTTATTGAGTTTAGTCTTTTTGTACTGTCTTTCTAGGCTGAAAAATTTCCCCTCGACTTGTGAAGACGTGTAAAAGTAACACCTTTCGCAAAGCTCGTTGGTAATAGCGCTCCACATTTGCTTATGGTTTTCATGCTTTGGCTTTTGCCAACTTTCGGCCGCAGTTCCTTAACCTTCAAAATTAGCAGCTTTGTTGGCGCATCCAACCACGCAGGCCTCTTGACGTCATGTGTCTCAGCACTTGTACCGATTGGAAGGAAGTCTTCCCTTTCACTTTCGCCCATTGCAATCTCTTCCGAGAAAGATTCTTCAAGGCCAGCGCTCCCGCTGTGCTCTTCTGTTATAATAAGGCTTTCGAAGCATTGTTGTCCAGCCACTTCGCTTATGATCTTCTGTCTATAAACTGCATCTGTTTGATAAATTAATTTATTACATTAAATTAATACGGTTTTCTTCTTAATTGTTTACTCACCGTCTTGAACCTTTCTAAATGTTCCAGGAGAACAAGTTATGTTAAGCTTGTTACCATCTTCTTCCATTTTTTGTTAATTATTGCTGCCGCACTCAATTTTTTAACTTTTCTTTTATCTTTAGCCCTGTTCGCGTTTAAAAAAAAAATCATTTTCTTTCAGTCTCCACATGAAGTTTCGAATTCGGGAGCATTAAAAATGTTATATAAGACCATACAGGTCCGGCCGTAAGGGGAGATTTTGGGTGTTCAAACCCGCCACCCCCTGTTGCAGGGAAATATACATACAAATTTGCCATTATTAAGTTAAAGATAATAATAGTAAAAAATATATTAAGAACTCAAATATTTAAGATCTCTTTTCAGAGATAGTAGTCGAGAGTTCTAGCTTTAGTTAAAGCCAGTAAATATTCAATGATCGCTACCTGCACTTTTCACCAAAAATGAGATTCTGATATAAAAATCCACCTGAGGCAAAGAACATAGTGACGCGACAAACAGAGCGACAAGACAATAGGTTTGTTCGTCGAAAATCCAGCAAGAATTATCCAACAGTCAAAATATCAGAGAGTAAGAAAAAATTCTCTCAAATTCTCTCTCATGTTGAGAAACTTGCAAAATTCTGCACGAACGCAAATTTGCAGGAATTTGCAAGTTTCCCTGCCAGCTGGCGTCCACGGTTGCATTTCAAACATAAAAAAATTTTATAGAATTTTTAAAATTCTTTCGGATGGCCAAAAACAGGATATACATGTATATTTCTTGTTGTTCTGACTTTCTTTAACTTACATTTCAATTTCTTCATGGTACTAGCTGTCGGGTTTCTTAAATCGACTCTGGTTGCAATTGCATTCCGATTGCGAATACCATTTTTTCAGCCGAATTAAGTTCAAATCATTGGAATTAAC